ACTAGAACTGAACTAGAACTGAACTAGAACTGAACTAGAACTGAACTAGAACTGAACTAGAACTGAACTAGAACTGAACTAGAACTGAACTAGAACTGAACTAGAACTGAACTAGAACTGAACTAGAACTGAACTAGAACTGAACTAGAACTGAACTAGAACTGAACTGAACTATACTGAACTAGGAACTGAACTAGAAACTAGAACTGAACTAGAACTGAACGAGAACTGAACTAGAACTGAACTAGAACTGAACTAGAACTGAACTAGAACTGAACTAGAACTGAACTAGAACTGAACTAGAACTGAACTAGAACTGAACTAGAACTGAACTAGAAACTGAACTAGAACCTGAACTAGAACGAACTAGAACTGAAACTAGCAACTGAAACTAGAACTGAACTAGAACTGAACTAGAACTGAACTAGAACTGAACTAGAACTGAACTAGAACTAACTAGAACTAGAACTGAACTAGAACTGAACTGAACTGAACTAGAACTGAACTAGAACTGAACTAGAACTGAACTAGAATGAACTAGAACTGAACTAGAACTGAACTAGAAACTGAACTAGAACTGAACTAGAACTGAACTAGAACTGAACTAGAACTGAACTAGAACTGAACTAGAACTGAACTAGAACTGACCTAGAACTGAACTAGAACTGAACTAGAACTGAACTAGAACTGAACTAGAACTGAACTAGAACTGAACTAGAACTGAACTAGAACTGAACTAAACTGAACTAGAACTGAACTAGAACTGAACTAGAACTGAACTAGAACTGAACTAGAACTGAACTAGAACTGAACTAGAACTGAACTAGAACTGAACTAGAACTGAACTAGAACTGAACTAAACTGAACTAGAACTGAACTAGAACTGAACTAGAACTGAACTAGAACTGAACTAGAACTGAACTAGAACTGAACTAGAACTGAACTAGAACTGAACTAGAACTGAACTAGAACTGAACTAGAACTGAACTAGAACTGAACTAGAACTGAACTAGAACTGAACTAGAACTGAACTAGAACTGAACTAGAACTGAACTAGAACTGAACTAGAACTGAACTAGAACTGAACTAGAACTGAACTAGAACTGAACTAGAACTGAACTAGAACTGAACTAGAACTGAACTAGAACTGAACTAGAACTGAACTAGAACTGAACTACTAGAACTGAACTAGAACTGAACTAGAACTGAACTAGAACTGAACTAGAACTGAACTAGAACTGAACTAGAACTGAACTAGAACTGAACTAGAACTGAACTAGAACTGAACTAGAACTGAACTAGAAACTAGAACTGAACTAGAACTGAACTAGAACTGAACTAGAACTGAACTAGAACTGAACTAGAACTGAACTAGAACTGAACTAGAACTGAACTAGAACTGAACTAGAACTGAACTAGAACTGAACTAGAACTGAACTAGAACTGAACTAGAACTGAACTAGAACTGAACTAGAACTGAACTAGAACTGAACTAGAACTGAACTAGAACTGAACTAGAACTGAACTAGAACTGAACTAGAACTGAACTAGAACTGAACTAGAACTGACTAGAACTGAACTACAACTGAACTACAACTGAACTACAACTGAACTAGAACTGAACTACAACTGAACTAGAACTGAACTACAACTGAACTAGAACTGAACTAGAACTGAACTACAACTGAACTACAACTGAACTAGAACTGAACTAGAACTGAAATAGAACTGAACTAGAACTGAACTGTTTTTAGTTAAACAGGAAATTATCTATAAATAGAAATTAAATCGATTATTTCTTATAATCGAAATACATTTTTGATCGTAGCCACCTTAATCTTCAATTTTTGTTTTAGTCGAAGTATTTACAAATACAAATAAACAATTAAATAAATGTTGTTATTTTTTTATTGTTATATTTTTGTTATATTGTTATATTAAACTGACTTGAAATTAAGTTAAAGAAATTATAAATATAAAACAAAACCCACAGTAAAACCATGGCGAAAAAGATTTCCTTAGAAATACTTTTAAACTTGACGTAGGCTTTATAGTCATGTATTGTCTGTATAAATCTCCCAGACAACTACGTTTAGTTCTAATTATATTAAAGTCCATTAAGAAAATAATTCACTGTAAAGCAAGAATTTTTCCGTGGCCACTCGAACACAGACGAATTGTGTGGCTACAGTGTTGCAAAGAGATAAACCTAGATAAACATAGACTGAAGCTGGACAATATTGGTGAAGTTTGAAATTACAATTCAGTTTAAGAAGATAAAAAATTTTGAAGAGGTATAGTCCATTTGCTTGTAACTGCATTCAAGAGAAATATCGGTGCAATTTATACTTATAAGACCGATTCGTTCAATTAGTTATATATAGATCCAAAGAACTCAGTTTCATTTGATTCAATAAATTTTCCAAGAAATAACTTTAACCATTATCCAATAGCTTTCTCTTACGGATTTATTTATCTTGAAAAACATTGTCTTAAAGGCAAATTTTTCCCCTCTAACACCCCGACTAAAGCAAAATCATGGAATAAATATTTCATAACAATTTAAGCCATACAAGACTTTCGTAGTTAAATATAATTTATTTCCTGAGAATCAGCTTGACTTCTAGTGCAAGAAAAAGATTCAAAGATACAAAGTTTTCAATTTTATTATTTTTCTTATCTTAAAGAAATCTAAAAATAAAAAATAGAAGAAACAGACATGAATATTTACGAAAAGAGGAAAACAAACGTACATATACACAAGTTCCTTTATTTGTGTTTTTTTGTTAAAGTATCCTTTATTTTGTCTAATAACAGAGTTGGAATAATTTGTTGTTGAACTTTACAGACAGGAAAAATTATAAACAAAAATTTGTTAAAAGAGACACAGATAGGGAAAGTGAAAGAAGGAAGTATTAGTTATTGTTAAAAATCAACGTTCAAACAAATTGATAATGGTGTGATGATGTTGCCAACGCTGTGTGATGTTTTGAACCATTGTCATCCGTCTTAATTAAGTTGAGTAATGTTGAAAACAGTTTATAATGAAATATTTGCTGTAAAATAACATAAAAAGGATAATAGAATACAATGAACAAGAACGTATACATATAAAAATGAATACGTTACACATACATACATACATAGAAAGATTAGGGAGGATCGCTAGAGTTAAGTTATAAAGTAATAAGGTTATAAGGTTATAAAGTTATAAAGTTATAAAGTTATAAAGTTATAAAGTTATAAAGTTATAAAGTTATAAAGTTATAAAGTTATAAAGTTATAAAGTTATAAAGTTATAAAGTTATAAAGTTATAAAGTTATAAAGTTATAAAGTTATAAAGTTATAAAGTTATAAAATTATAAAGTTATGAAGTTGTAAATAGTCAATTGACTCAACTTGACTATTGAATAGACTGTTCTATACTATTGACTAATCTATTAAATAGTCTACTGACTAGCAGCTGACTAGTCTATTAAATAGTCTAATCCATTGACTAGTCTAGTCTCTATTGACTAATCTAATGACTAGCGTGCTGACTAGTCTATTGACTAATATATTGACTAATATATTGGCTCGCCTATTGACTAGTCTACTGACTAGTCGATTAACTAATCTATTCTACTGACTAGTCTATTTACTTGTCTATTGTCTAATATATTGACTAGTCTTTTGACTAGTCTACTGGCTAGTCTATTGACTAATCTATTGACTAGTCCATTGACGAGTCTACTGATTAGCCTTTTGAATAGTCAGTAAACCACTGACTAGTCTACTAACTAACTAGTCTAATTGATTATTAACTAGTGCATAGAGCAGTCTAGTAACTAGTTTATTGAATAGTCACTGACTAATCAATTGTCTTATCTACTGGCTAGTCTTTTGATTAGACTATTGACTAGTCTATTGGCTAGTCTATTGACTAGTCTATTGGCTAGTCTATTGACTAGTCTATTGACTAGTCTATTGACTAGTCTATTCACTAGCCTATTGAATAGCCTACAAACTAGTCTTTTAAAAAGTCAGTAAACTACTGACTGGTCTACTAACTAATTAGTCTAATTGACTATTGACTAGTGTATTGAGTAATCTACTAACTAGTTTATTGACTAGTCTACTGACTATTCTATGGACTAGTCTATTGATTAGTCTATTGACTAGTCTATTGACGAGCCTATTGTCTAGCCTATTGACTAGCCTATTGACTAGCCTATTGACTAGTCTAGTGACTAGTCTTTTGACTAGTATATTTACTAGTCTATTTACTAGTCCACTGACTAGCCTAATGATTAGTCTTTTGACTAGTTTATTGAATAGTCGGTGAACTACTGACTAGAGTACTAACTAGTTTATTGACTAGTCTACTAACTATTCTACTGACTAGTCTATTGATTAGTCTATTGTCTTGTCTGTTGACTGGTCTGTTGTCTTGTCTATTGGCTAGTCTAATGGACTAGTCTAACGGGCTAGTCTGTCGATAGACTAGTCAGTAAAATAGTTAATAGAATAGTCTGTGGACTAGTCTACTGATTTGTATAATAAGATGACTAGTCTATGGAATAGTCCTTAGTGGGCTAGTCAATGGACTAGATTATGGCTTATTTTATTTAGTAGTTTGTAGACTAGTTTATTGACCAACCTATGGTCTCCTTATGAAAAATTTGTAATATGGAAGAAGTACGCAATCCTTAAGAATTTAACAATTTTAACTCCCCTATTATTTAGACAACAAATTGACTTTAGTCATTACAAAAGATGTGCATACAGAAGCTGTTACTAGGAAAAGTGATGTTGACGGAAATTCCTTAACTACTAATGATGACAACAAAAAGTCAAGGAAATTAAATTTACAAGTAATTTTTAAATTAGTTTAGGGTTCAAAATAGTTGAAAATTGATAAAAAGTAAAAGATTTAAAATTTCTCAATTTATAACAAAAATGTGCAGAATTTTTAATAACTAAATAGTTTTTATTCATTAATCAATGCGAGAGGACTTACCCAAACCAGTCATGGGTCCAAAAACCGTATTATCATCTGTAGTGGTACAATTCCAGCGACGATTTTTGAATTGAAACTGACATTCCTGAAAGAAGAAAATAAAATATATTTAATTAGTATTGTTTATTCGCCTGAATTTTAATAGTTGTATCCTTTTTTGTTTAATAATATACACCAGGATGCCACCAATTGATACTAATTAGATTTTTTTTTTTTTTTTTAATTTTGAATAAGTATATTTAAATAAATAAAATTGCATGAACAAATATTTATATTGATAGTAGTAATTCGTAATATGATTTGTTGTTTATATAAATTATATTTTTCTCTATAAAAATATAATAAAAAAGTGAAATTTAAAAGAATTTAAACTTAAATCCTTGACAAGTAAACATAACAATATTTTAGAGTGTGATAAAACTTAAACACTGTGTGTGTCCTTTGGGTTCACTTTGCTTATTATTATGATATTGAAAGGATCAAAATGAAGATATTTTCAATTTCGCCTGATGATTTCATTCTTTTAAATAAACAATCTAGATTCTTCATATTTATTACATACATTTGTATAAATTAAAGGGCTTTTATATACAATTTTGAAATTATAATGAATATTTCTACATGAACGATCAACAACTAAAAACAGCATGTGGTTTTTGAGAGTAATACATATGTAATTGTTTACTAAATATGGTGATTTCCATAACAAAAGACAAATTATAAATATTTCTTATTAGATTTCTATTCTGATAAACTTAACTATGCCTTAGGCTCCCTATACTCTTGTTTACCAATAGACACTAAAGTAACTATTTACACTATAACGGTCTCATTAAACTCTTAAAATTTCTCTAAAATTAAAATGTTTGGTCCCATATCATTCATATTTATCAATAATATACTTAAAGTTATAAACATAAATTTATTATTCAAAATAATTATTATACAAATACATTTTAAACATAACATTTAGCAATGCATTTTTCAAATATTTCCTAATAACAAAAACAAATATTAAAATAAAAATTTTAATAATACGAAACAATAAAATCAAATATTAATAAAAATTGTGCAGTCAAATGAAAACAAAAAATGCTAGAAAAAATCAATTATATCAATTAGATATTGAAAATAAAACAAATTTAAATAATTACAATAAATTACAACAACAAAATATTCAAAATTTAATTAAATATTTAATAGAATTTAATAAGAAAATTTCAAAATACTCATAGCAGATTTTGTATAAAAAGTAGATTTATGGCTTAAAATTTATAACTTTATAACTTTAAAACTTTAAAACTTTAAAACTTTAAAACTTATAACTTATAACTTTATAACTTTATAACTTTATAACTTTATAACTTTATAACTTATAACTTATAACTTTATAACTTTATAACTTTAAAACTTAAAACTTTAAAACTTAAAACTTTAAAACTTTAAAACTTTAAAACTTTAAAACTTTAAAACTTTAAAACTTTAAAACTTTAAAACTTTAAAACTTTAAAACTTTAAACTTTAAAACTTTAAAACTTTAAAACTTTAAAACTTAAAACTTTAAAAACTTTAAAACTTTAAAACTTTAAAACTTTAAAACTTAAAACTTTATAACTTTAAAACTTTATAATTTTATAAATTTATAACTTTATAACTTTTACTTACAACTTTATAACTTTATAACTTTATAACTTATAACTTTATAACTTTATAACTTTATAACTTTATAACTTTATAACTTTATAACTTTATAACTTTATAACTTTATAACTTTATAACTTTATAACTTTATAACTTTATAACTTTATAACATAACTTTATAACTTTATAACTTTATAACTTTATAACTTTATAACTTTATAACTTTATAACTTTATAACTTTATAACTTATAACTTTATAACTTTATAACTTTATAACTTTATAACTTTATAACTTTATAACTTTATAACTTTATAAATTTATAACTTTATAACTTTATAATTTTATAACTTTATAACATTATAATTATATAACTTTATAACTTTATAATTTTATAAATTTATAAGTTTATAACTTTATCACTTTATAACTATATATTTTTATACTTTATAACATAATACTATCTAAATTTATAACTTAATATTTTATAAATTTATAATTTTATCACTTTATAGCTATATATTTTTATAATTTTATAACATAATACTATCTAAATTTATAACTTTATAACTTAATACTTTATAAATTTATAAGTTTATCACTTTATAACTATATATTTTTATGATTTTATAACGTTATAACTGTATAACTTGTAACTTTATAACTTAATAACTTTATAACTTTATAACTTTATACTTATACTTATACTTTATAACTTTATAACTTTATAACTTTATAACTTTATAACTTTATAACTTTATAACTTTATAACTTTATAACTTTATAACTTTATAACTTATAACTTTATAACTTATACCTTTATAACTTTATAACTTATAACTTTATAACTTTATAACTTTATAACTTTATAAATTTATAACTTTATAACTTTATAACTTTATAACTTTATAAATTTATAAATTTATAACTTTATAACTTTATAACTTTATAACTTTATAACTTTATAACTTTATAACTTTATAACTTTATAACTTTATAACTTTATAACTTTATAACTTTATAACTTTATAACTTTATAACTTTACAACTTTATAACTTTATAACTTTATAACTTTATAACTTTATAACTTTATAACTTTATAACTTTATAACTTTATAACATTATAACTTTATAACACTTAAAAAATTTATAACTTTATATGAATATTTTACATTATGTTCTCTCTCATCTCATTTATTTACATGACAAATCTCAGTCTAATTGTTTCAAATTCAGCCTAAAAACTTTTCTAATTTGTTTGCCCGCATTTCAAAACATTGTTCGCAGTACATACGTAAATATTGTTTATCTATTTCAACCATAATTAAAATTTACAAGTTTCTAAGCAAAAAACAACTAAACATTTCCAACAAAACTCCACCCTTAACCTGTTACAGTCTACTAGGGTTTTAAATGGCCGAGAAAGTCATGAGTTTTCAAAATTTGTAGATGAGACCAGCGTGTTTTGTTCATGTTCCTACTACAAGGATCGTATAAGGTTCAATTGGATCAGAAGCAGAAGAAGAACTCTTCAAATCTTACAATCTAATGCTTAACCAATGAAGTGAAATGAAATGAAGGGGTCTATGAACCTAGTTTTCTTTATAAGAGCTTAAAGCACTTGAAAAGCTGACAAAGTTTGGCTGAGTATAACTCGCGACTTCTTAGTGGAAACTTGCTTTAATGCCGTAGTATACAATGGGTTAAACTAAGTTAGTTAAATAATAATACGAATAGTTGCAGACATATGTATTTATGTAAAGATGTGAGCATTTCATATCCTTCTTAGGACTACAAATGTGAGAACTTTATGTATGCGTTATTTTACATTATAGTCCTCTGCTCCTTAATATTATCATCATCTTTTAGATCTTACTCATTATTTAAATTGTATAACATAAGTATTCAATGTTTTAGGTGGTTTTAAGCAACTAAAGTTTATTATAAAACCCATCAGACTCCTACTCTTGTCTGGCCCACAAAACACATGTTGGTCTCTACAGAAAGTGTACACTTACATCTCTCCCTAATTTAGAGTATTACGAAAAAATACTAAAGAATTTTGTGTGTTTGTGTTCCTGGAAAAACCTTTAATAAAGTTTAAAAGTTAAAATTAGTATTGTTTTACAACAATAACTCCCAAACAAAGACGCAGCAAAGAAGTATTTGTTATACCAGACTTTGGAATGAGTATTATTGTTGGTCTAAAGATGATACTGTTTTGTCAGTTTCGGAAATACATTCATACAGACATACATACTTACAGACATATGTATGTACATTTGTATTATTTAACAGAAGGGTGGTTGTTTTAATTAAATTAAAGTATTACAACTACAACAACACGTTGTATATTTAAGAAATAACATTTAAGAGATAAGAATTTGTGCGTTTTTGCGGATGTATTTGGTTTTAAATGAAACGAAATATGAAGAAACGTTTAAAGTTTGTGAGTGTGTTTTACAAGATAAAAACAAGTACCCAGCAAAAACTTAGATTGAAAAGCTCATTTAGCAGCAGGCACTTTACACGATCGCTTACAAATAAGTTGTTATATAAGTACTTACTAATTGGGAATGAATGAAAATATATGTATAAAATGGAACTTGTTGGTACTTTTTCATTAATCATATGGTACTTTTTCATTAATCATATGGTACACATTGTTTAATCTGTAAGATAGGAGTCTTCGGTACTTTTGGATCTATTATTGGTTTAAAATTTGAATCGTTAAAGGATTTGTAACAAAATTATTATTATTTTATTTACTGGGTTACAAAATTTTACCCTTTTCTTTCATTGAAAAGAGAAAAAACAACAACAACTTGTTTGAGCATCTTTGTTTTTAGAACAAAATATTCTTGTACTTAAACAGAGTGACTGCCTGGTTCTATATTATACTACAAAGTACTACAAATATATGTACATATACATATATAAATGGTGGTAATAGTACCCGGTCTTCCTGTCTGTCTACCACATTTTGTTTAAATACGAAAACAATTAGAGTCACAATTTATAATTAGTCTGTTGTTATTATATCGCACTTCTTTATACCAAATACATACTTCTTCCTCATCTCCTTTCAAAGTATAACAAATGGCAACAGTAATTAGATTATAATAGATTTAAAATAAGACAAGACACCAACAACAATAAGAACAAATAAATAATTTGTATTTGTATACTTTGTGTAGCCTTAAAAAGGATGACAAGTAATTTTTGGGGATATTATGAACCGTTTAGTAAGCAACTGATTAAAGGTAGATTTAAATTTTGTTAAAAGTAAAGGAAAACAATTTCTCGAGGGAGGATTAAATGAAAAATATAAATTAAGTATTTTTTAATTCGGCTATGACGAATCTTAAGTACCCATCACTAAAAAGTAAGAATTTCAAGGAAAAAGAGAATCGACTGATAAAATGAATCCTAGAATGAATCCCC